AATTTTTGGTCTCGTAATTGGGGAGTGAGATTTCAGATGTAAAACGAGTCTAAAAAAACGATCCATACTGAATCTGATTCGGTATTTTGTAACTACTGATGTCGTAACTCTGGGTATAAAGGGACTCTAAATCGGTTCTAAACAGCGGGCCGATTACTGAAATTGATAGACAAAGCTATAGACAAAGAAGATATAGGGGGTATAAAGCAATCCTATTGGTTGAAATGGGTGGTTCTCATAGACTAAGGGGGACAATGATAGACTAACTGTCGGGTCTCTCGTGGGTTGCCGTTAGTTAGTCTATTATATTACCTACCTCCTTTGTCCATTGCAACCACCCGCTTTTACCGATAGGATCCCTCCAAATCCTTTTTGTCTTCTTTGTCTATCAATTTCAATAATCAGCCCGCAGTAGCGTGGCGTGCTCTGCGATGGACCGATTGGTCTGCCATTTAAACGTATGGAAAAGGATCGATATACAGGGTGTTCGCAATAATCGATTCTTCACCATAGCTTCAAATGGGTAAATATCGATAGTCAATCGCCTCTCCACTGATTTATACTATTGTCGCTTGAATAATCATCTGATAAAATGCAGGATCGGAAGTCGAGAGAGTCCAAATTTTCTCAGCCTAGATGGTTTCAATTATGCCATGGCACGCTCGGAATCTCGGGATCAATGTCTCTGTTTAGGAGTCTCACGAGAACGATTCGAGAACTGACAACAAGTCTGGAAGTATTCCTCCTCAAAAATTTCGGATAGCTCAGTATTCTGCCGTGCTAAGAAAGGAACATTCGAATTATGCCAAATTTCCTTTCAGAAAAAATTAGATATTAGCAAAAATTATGAGCATTTTTACTTACAATTTTTAGATTTTTTAGAATGAATTACAGACGAAATCCTCTGTAAAATTGGAAGAGAAATATTCACAAATTTTCCCGGAAAATCGCTCTGGTCCGTGCCACGTTGGAAATCTTGCTAATTAGTACCTAATTATGACTTCCACTCCAAAAGAGCAACGATGGTCATAGCTTATGACTCTGAAGAATCACTTAAATGAAAATTGTTGCGAAATTCGAAGAAATAAACCCATCAGAAATTGGCTTCGAAATAAACATCGCATTAGTCATGGTAATTCAGTCCTGTATCAAATCCTGTACTTTTTGTCAGCAAAATCCTGCTTTCGTTTCCCAAATTTTGCAATTTTTTTCATCACAAATGATTCCTCAGTTTCATGCGCGAGAGCTGTTGTCTTTTATTGGCTTCATCGTCAGAATGATTAAAAATTGTTGACGTATAGTCATAGCGCCACATTGTTATTGCACGCCAATTCAAACACAACTGGATTCTGGGACGAACTATGTTAAGCTCTGGTGGAGACATACCTCGGTCAAACGCCTCAACAGTCTACTCTTACACCCGTATTAAATCTTTTTTTTTTTTTTTTGACAGCGCATTGAGCCAGTGGTATTTCCAATTGAAGCAAGTTGGTAACTTAGAATAGATAGAAGAATAGATTATTAAGGTGTTGTTTATCGATCCTTTTCCACAAGTTTAAAACGCAGATCAATCGATGTATCGCAAAGCACGCCACGCCGCTGGCCCCATCCTGTCATACTCCAGCTTGGTGCCCGCCTGAGCATCCGAGATGGCATGGCATTGAAAAGCCGTCATGGAGACGACCATCATCATTTTTTGGGATAGTGTCCTTATTTTGTCTAGAGAATAGTTGTCCAACAACACAACGGCAAATGGAGCGAGGATCACATTCATGTGTTACATCCTCCGCGTGCCCTGTGCCATCTGCGACGTTCAGGATGCTACTCAGGATGCGTTCAGGGGGCTTTGACTAAGTATGACTGGCTGACATGTGCTCAAAATAGAGCCGAACCGACACACAGTGGATCGAGTTAGTCAGAGAGGTCGGACATGAAATTGTTGACTAAAACTGCAAATTTTAATCTTAATTCCGTCACATTTTAAATTTGAAGGGGTGACCCTTAAAATAAATTTCATAAGGAAACCAATGGGACCACTTTTAAAACCTAAAATTTTTGTATAAAAGGAGTTATGAGCTTTTAAAGTTTCCAAAGTTTGTCCGACCTCTCCCATTGACTCGGTCCAACGTGCGACACCAGTCTTTTATTAGGACCTCAGCAAGGGATCTTCAATGAGCCTGTCTGAGCTAAACATCCTCCTACCTCAACTTTGCTCTTAAACTCATTACACACTGTTAAAAATTTTGGAGTTGAATTTTGTGCCGGAGCCTATCTTGTACCCATGAATCTGAACCGCGAGTGATATGAATGAGGAGTGAAACCTATACTCCTGATGGAGTGACTTAATTACACTCTTACGGAGCGGCATCTTCTCTTTTTGCGGAATGCCATACGCTTTTATGGTGCTGATCTCACTTCGCAATCATATCGCTCGGGGCTTTTGGGCGCTATGTATATTGCCGTGCTAGGGAGAAACGCCGTATGAACCTTCAGGCGTTGCCAAATTTTCTTCGATAAAACACGAATTCCCTGGTAAACTTATGAATATTTTGCTTCCAATTTCTCAGAGAATATTGTTTGTATTTTGATCTAAAGTTCTTGAAAATTTCAAGGAAAAATATTCATAATTTTCCGCATAAATAAACATTTTATCAACAGAAATTTGGCAACTCTCGAATGTTCATACGGCGTTCTTCTTTAGCACGGCACAGTATATGCTTGGTGTTTCTGGCTTTGGTTTCCCTTCAGAACAGTGATAGTAGATAGAGGTAGTATGTTCTGTATTACAGATAGGATTTTTTATTCATAGTTTGCCTTCAGACTCTTGAATTACAGGACTGGAGCTCTCCTCGAACTCCAGTAGAGTATCGATGAAGCGAGAAGTCATCTGAGCGTGCCCGTGAGCTGTGAGCCGTAACAGGCAGCCTGAATTTAATCACACAAAAGCTATTTATTCTAAATTATGGTAGAGGTAGTTACTTCAAGTACTGAGTGGAGTCAATGCCGCAAGAGAGCTCCAGTACTGTAATTCAAGAGACTGATGGCAAAATATGAATAAAAAATCCTATCTGTACACCAGAACATACTACCTCTATCTACTAGCGATAAGACTGCGCATTTTTATGACGTTTTGCCTCGTATTTCTCTACTAAGAGAAAGTTCTTTGATATAGAGCTCTTGTATGGGTCAGGAATTTGTGATTTATTACTGTTGTCCATGTCCATGTAAAATTTCGCAAGAAATTCGATGGCGCGACTGATTTTTTTCTGAAATTAACGCCAAAGCTCAAAAAAAGCTTTCAAAGTTGAGGCCGTAATTGAGGGGATGTCCCACGCTACCCTACGAGAGTCTACCTCTATATCAAGACAAACTCTCCGTGCAAAGATAGGGAGCAAATACATTAACAGGGTTGCCACTTCGTTGGGGGGATTCCAAAACTGGAAACACGGCAACCTTACTAATGTATTTACTCCCTATCTTTGTCTAGAGAGTTTGTCTTGATATAAAAGTGGATTCTCAGGGTAGCGTGGGCTATCTCCTCCATTACGGTCTCAACTTTGAGAGCTTTTTTGAGCTTTGAAGTTAGATTTCACAAAAAACTAGAGGCATCGTGTTTTCGCGAAATTTTACAGAAGAATCAGTATTTAAATCGCAAATTCCATGACACATGTAAAAGCTCCATTATGGTTCTTAATTGCAAAATTAAGTCTGAACAGTCTCAATGTGCTCAAATTAAGTCTGAACAGCCTCAATGTGCTCATCACAGACTACAGTTATCGCCAGCAGTTTGCAAGCAAGGAATGAAAAAAGAAGGGCTTGAAATTCAGAGGTAAAGAATTACATAGAAAGAACTGTTTACCTTGTCTTTCAGCGAAGCAGACGTTCTTTTGTCTGGAATGCAAAGTAGCAACTGTCACACTTGCAAATATGGTGGCCAGACACTTTACCCAATGTTGTATAGTACAACGTTCCTATGGTCCATTTATAAAGTTTGCCCAATGGGTTTTTTGTGCACTGCTTTTTGAACCGTTTATTTAGTCAAGTTACAAGCAATGGTGAACGCGCTGAGATTTCGCCAAATTATGGAATTAACCCTTACATGCCCAAGTCGGGTCAAACTGACCCTAAGATCGCGGAAATTCGCGCTCCGCGGGATTTATGGGGCCGCTACATACGAACTTTACATGTAGGTCTATAAATACATCTTAAAAAAACGAATGAGACATTAAATTGAAAAAAAAGAAAAACATCAAATATCTACACAGCCGATGATAGGAGAGACCTTTTGGGTCTGGCTTCTTTAACTTTTCCTCAAACCACAGAACGACAATTCAGTGGCAGCCTAGAGCGGAGCATCGCGAGCTCACGCCTCACGCCATAGCGCCTTCAATTTTGCAGATGCAACACGGACATCCATCAAGCACGAATAGTTGTATCCTTGCGCCGTCATCAACGCGCACCCATCTCCTTGCTCTATTTCCATGTTGTGTTGGTTCCATCTCTCTTATTTGTAGTAGTGCTTCAAGAGCTATGTGAGCAAAACAGCCGGAATAGGAGAGATGTAATCGGACCTTTTTTTTTTACCTTTTCTGTCGAATCCAAGTGCCACCTCATTGACCGCATAGAGCGGAGCATTGCAAGTTCATGTATCGCGCCCTCAATTCTGCAGATACAACACGGGCATCCATAAAGCACGAATAGTTGTGTCTCTGCGCCGTCATCAAAGCGAGTCCTTCCGAGTCCTTTCTCTTATTGAGTTTCCATGTTGTGTTGGCTCCGTCTGTCTTATTTGGTGTAGTGCTTCAAGGGCTACGTGAGCAACACAGCGAAGGTATAACTTGGATTGAATTTGTTGGCCAAATTAGGTATAGGGTAAAAAAATTGGGTAAAGTGTCTAGCCACTACGAATGCCTACAGTGAAATCTGTAACCAAAATACTGTTTAAGTCGAGAAGGCAATTATACAAACTGCATAGCGATGCGAGAAGTATCACACGCAAATCAAGGCGCAACAAGCCGACAAGTCCTTTAATAATGACAACTTCACTATGTCGATTCGGAACAATGAGATTTGCCGCTTGCAAATGGTTGACAATTAACAGTTGTCTGAGATATGCTCATTCTGAAAACTGAATTTTAAAAAATCTCCATTTTTTTTATAAAAGCTGCGAAAAGAAATATGACTTATTCTTTGTTACTTCGTAGTTCACACTACTACCTGACAGTATGATGGTATAGTAAGCATCATCGTCATGGCAATAACCGATGTGCGGAGGCTCTTGTGTGTCCTCTTTTGAGAGCTCGTTCCCCATTTGTGCGGACTTGCTCCCATTCATGAATTTGGTCTGTGTTGAAGAAAAATATTCAGTAAGAACCTAGTCGCGTTGTTACAGAGTTTTTAATGTTCAGAATCCCAATATTGAGACGGTCGGAGTGCTAAAAAAGCTACACTCCAAGGGAACAAGCTTTCGGATTCTGGCCAAAATTTTGAGTCAATTATCATGAGCAGAAGGTAGCAGTAACTTTTGGTACCAAATTTTTTCGGTCGGACACGACACTGGTTTGGTTCAGAGGAAAGAAGGAGAGGGATTCAAATTCAAATCGAAAGAATTATGAGTTTTATCTTGGAAAATGGCAAACCTTAAAAAGCGCTAGACTGCCTAGTGGCGTGACGGGGATCAATTGGACTATTTCTGCCGAACGGAACTATGTGCATTAAGACATGAGCCCTGAGATCCAAAAGAATATATGTATAACGGGGCTCAATCCATGATACACATAATTCCATTTGGTAGAAATACGTTCAATTTACCTTCTAATAAAACCTATAGAAAAGGGAAAATCAGCAGGGATCTCGCGCAGAGCCTCTTATTAATCGAATTTTTACCAAATAGCTTCAAGTGGGAAAATATCGATTGTCGATTACACATGTCTCGCTATTACACGATAGAGACTATAAAGTATAGGATAGGAAGGTTTTTCTATAATTGTTGGGATGGGAACATTTATCGTTTTTAAGCTTTTTAGCACGATAGATCAGATAGGGCTTTAAAAAATTAGCGCTGCGCTGCTTCTTTCAGGATAGCCGACATTATAAGTACATTATTCCTACTGTCACCGGGACATAAATATTTGAGGGTCTTTTTGTCTCAGGATAACGCCTAGACCTAATCATCATAACTTAAGACTCTAGGAAACTGACTTACCTGAACCGTGTAAAACGTAAACAATTTATGAAGGTCCGGAATTATTTTGTGCTTTTCCATTGCTGCTCTGATGATTTTAAAGTGTGGATAGTCTTCCTCTGAGACGTACTCGTAGTCCCTATTTGGATATACTCCCAGAATGAAGAGGCATAAAATAATAGCCGAAAGAATAAAATGCAACACTCCCTGAAACAACATAATTTCTGTTATCATTCCATTGTAATATTTTGGGGCATTGAGAGCTATTAAAAAAAGAAATTTCAACTTCGATGAGTCTTCTCGGGAGATTTTCATCAACTACATACTACACCGTGATGTGTCGAATAACCACAACATAACTTACGCACAACGTGTAAACTGTTTAAGAACACCGGCCTGAGCATTTGTCTGATAACTTTTACTTTCATTCAAAGTATTGATTATGGTGTTCTGTGCGCACTACTCTATTATGTAACAGTAAAAATGAACGAGATAAATGAAAAAACTAAAGAGCGACGCCAAGAATGGCACAATTTGGGCCAGAAGGGATTTTTCTGAAACCGGGCCCAAACGATACCTTATGATACCCTAAAACTCTGGTAAAAATTTTAGCTTGAGTATACGCACCGTTTTTGAGAAATGGGGGGGCAAAGTTGCCAAATCGCCATCATTCTGGACAGCATTTTTACAGCAAAAAGACGGGAAAAATGGACGAAAAAGTTACACCATTGATGGGTTTGGGCTGTAAATGTTCTTATTGAGCCCCCGTGCATGTGATTGTCTTCAGTTTCAAAAATTTTGGACGTACAGTGGTCTAAAATGGGAAGAAATCGTGGACAGATAAGGATTCTTTGTCAAACTTTTTAAAAATGGAAGTAAAATTGTTGGTCTCCTACAGAGATCATGCGGAACAATGTTCTTATCGGTCTTCAGTGCATTCAATTGGGTTCAGTTTATCAAATTTTCATCGCACAATGGTCCAAAATGGGAAATTAGTGGACAAATTAAGATCTTCTGCCTAACTTTTTAAAAATGATGTACGACTATTGGTTTCCAGTAGACTTTAGATCCCAGAAAAATTCTTTTTTTGACTATTTAAATCTTTTTTACGTTTTTTCTCTCCACTTTTCTTTCTTTTTTTTAAATTTCTGAAAGTTTGCATATTTTATTGAAATAATGCTACAAAGTCTATTCTATAACAACGTTCTATAAACAATACGGTCTGACATATATAAATAATTAAAAAAAAATAAAAACATGCATTTTTCCGGGATTTAAACTCTGGGGACCAACGGTTTGACAGAGGATCTTAATTTGTCCACTAATTCCCCCATTTTTGACCACTGTGCGATGTACATTTGTGAAGCTGAACACATTTTCATAAATTGAGGACCAATAAGAACATTGTTAGCCATGAAAACTGCAGCAGACCGACAATTTTACTTCCATTTCTAAAAATTTGACAAAGAATCCTGATTTGTCGACGATTTCTCCCCATTTTGGACCACTGTGCGACCAAAATTTTTGAAACTGAACACAGTTAAATGCTTGGGGGCCCAATGAGAACATTTACAGCCGAAACCCATCAAATATTTGACTTTTTCGTCCATTTTCCCCGTCTTTTTGCTGTAGAAATGCTGTCCAGAATGATGGCGATTTGGCAACTTTGCCCCCTCATTTCTCAAAAACCGAGCGTATACTCAAGCTAAAATTTTAACCAGAGTTTTAGGGTATCATAAGATATCGTTTGGGCCCGGTTTCAGAAAAATCCCTTCTGGCCCAAATTGTGCCAAAAAACGGTCGTTTTTGGCGTCGCTCTTTCTGAGGAGACCTACCATGCTGTAGCGGCTGAAATAGAGGAGAAATAGGAAAAGAGAGAAGGATGAAAGGCGTAACGCGTTACGTAGCCGGCTACTCCAACAGGTTAACATCAGTTTTGGATTACTACCTCTTAAATATTTCTTAGGTTAAAAGTGAAATTTTTTTATCTATGCTAAAATCCCTCTGTCTTATCATATCTCTCTCATTTTACCTTTCATTTTTCAGGATGGAAAAAGCAGTAGGAATACATACAGCCTAAAATTCAGCGAATCTTTAAGAAGAACATTAACTGCCGGATAGAGACCATGAGAAAAAAAATGAAAAAGGTAAATTTCCTCCAATGATTTTATTGGTTTACGCGCAAAATGGACCATACGGAATTTAGCTGCAGTCAATATTTGATTCTTCAAAAAAAAAAAAAAAAAAAAAAAGTTTACAATATGCATATATGCAAACGAATTCGTGTGTCAGCCAAAAAGTGTGCAAATTGACATCAGCTGATAAATGAGGGGCGTGTAACCATTCGCGTTCCCCGGTAAGTATGTTTTTTGCCTAAACGGTGAAATTGAAGGCGCACCTGAATTGGACAATATCTGCCAATGTGGTTTTTCGCATTCTTCGCGCTGTATGGAGTAAGATAAATGTGTAGATTGAATAGATTGAAGAATGCCCATGTTTGATCCTACTCTGAGGAAGTAATTTGGTGCAGAAGATGGAGAATAACTGGATGGGAGAAGGGAAGAAGGAGAAAGAGAGGAAGTTGGAGAAGAAAAAAATAGAAGTCGGAGGAGAATAAGAAGAAAACAACACGGAAATACTCCAAATATTTTATAAATGAAAGAGACGCGGGAACTATTGACGCCCTTAGGCTTCGGTTGGCATTTTACCACTGGAAACGCAGTCTTTCGGAACGTCACGTCAACCTCAATCATCAATGGCGATTTTGCACGTTGGCAACGCTGTTTTCGCTCCATATAATCCCAGTAAAAATAACGATTTTAGGTGGGACAAGTTGCCTTCCCAGGAATCGATTCCTTTACATACATTTAAATGGAGGAAAAAACTTGTCGTCAACTTTCAAAAATCGCCAATGGGTGCAGTACCACGAAGACACCTTGGTATCGATCTAGCTCATATTAAATACTCGACTCAATACGCACCTTAAATTCAAGTGGATTATTAAAATGAGGCCGTGCGGTGTAGCGCAAACTACACTACCGTGCTAAGGAAAAACGCCGTATGAACATTCGAGAATTGCAAGATTTCCTTCGATAAAATGTTCATTTTTAAGGAAAGTTATGAACATTTTTCTTGAAATTTTCAGGCGCTTAAAATGAAATGACGAACAAAATTATCTGAAAATGTGGAAGAAAAATACTCATAGGTTTACCATGGAATTCGTGTTTTATCGATGGAAATTTGGCAACGCCTGAAGGTTCACACGGCGTTTTTCCTTAGCACGGCAATACAGCACCATCATGGTGTTGCCTGGTTTTAAGTTCACTATCAGTTTGATATTCAGGAAATGTCATCTTGATTTTCCTCCGCGAAATGGACGGCGTTCATCAACACAGGCAAGGGCTTGAACATGAAAGCTCTTATCTCCATGGAAACTTTAGGACAAGATCTGTTATTTTTAAAGAAAAAAAAGTTCGTTCCTTCCCTAGAAACGAGCCAGTGTTCTTGCGACCAGGCAGCCGAAGTATAAGCTCCAGTAACTCTGATAAGACGGAGCCGGAGAATTATCTCTCACAAAAAAAAATATATTTTTAGAATAATTGGTAGCGTTTTTTCGTGTTAACTTTTTTCCTTAGCTCGTTTTTTTCTTTGTAAAAGTAATGTGCGTTACAAAATCGAGCTACCTCTCGCCGAGAGGCTCTCGGTGCATGCAGTCCAGCAGAGGTGTAACCTACTCTGCCGTGCTAAGGAAGAACGCCGTATGAACATTCGAGAGTTGCCAAATTTCCTTCGATAAAATGTTTATTTTTGAGGAAAGTTATGAACATTTTTCCTTGAAATTTTCAGGAACTTTAGCTGACGCTGCAAGCAAAATTATCTGAAAAATTGGAAAGAAAAGATTCATAAGTTTACCAGGAAATTCGTGTTTCATCAAAGGAAATTTGGCAATGGCTGGAGGTTCATATACGGCGTTTTTCCTTAGTGCGGCAGTGCTGCTATACAGAAACGGCCAGGCATCAATGATGGGAGTGAACCAACCATAAACCGGTTTGAGACGTTGTAAGTCTCTTCTCATTTTACATCAATATACAAAAAATTGTCTGCGCCTGAATTTTATTATTGTATGCATTGTCTCGTGTCCAAGTGTATCAAATCTTACAATCCAAGTGAAATAGATTGTTATTAATTGAAAAAAAAATTGGTAAAATTACTGCAACTGTGTTGGAGTTACGCGCATGTGTTCTATTCTCTGGTCGAAAGGGCTCCTTTTATTGAAATGCACTACAATAAATTTGAAATAAGTTCCAAATTTGTTTACATTGCAAATTGTCTACCTTTCCAGCCCAAGTAATTAGTTTTGTGGATCCCTCAGTTCCGGTATTTAGAGACCATATGATCAAAATATTCCGACTTAATGGAAATAAATTACAATTTTATTCCATTGTAAATTGAGGCATCTGAATGTTTTTGCCTCAACGTCGGTGATGAGAGAATGTGTCGCTGCGCACGCACGAGAGTGCAATTCAAGCGGTAATCGTGATCTTTTGCCTTCAAGTCAAAACTATACTGTTGACAGGCGCTCTGAGCAACTATTCCGCCACAGAAGTACTGCACAGTATCATACGAAAATGAAGGCGCACTAACGTACGCTAATTAGCTGCAGACTCGTTTAACACTGTGCAGGGTCCTACTGATTCTACGATATGCGGCTTCTGTTCGATCGATTTATTTGAAACTTGATCCTAGGTGGCATTTTGACTGTGTCGTTTTTAGCGAAAATAATATTAACTAAGATTGGGAGAAACGAAATAAATTTTATTACCACAAAGGGACATCGTGCTCTTTCGCAAGAGACTAACAACGAACCTAACTATCATGGCCGGACGCCACTTGGACATGAGTCTCAATCCACTCGTCGAGAAGGTGAAGCTCCCGGTTCTGAGTCTCCAGCTGAAAAATACCTTTCCTTACTGATAAAAGGGTTTTATTTCATACATCTATCTTTATTCATCTTATTTAGTTCAACGTTGTTTTATTTCACTCGTGTAGGTATTTTTCAGCCAGAGCACAATTCCAGGGAGTTTCACCTTCTCTTCACATGGTTGCAAATTATTCTTAACAATTATTCTTTTTCTTATTTTTACTGTAAACAACAGATTGAAAACTTGAATTTCATCTCAAATTTCCGAAAATCCAAGATCATAAAATAATTTGATCCAGAATGCTACCTTCGCCTCTGTTCGATCGATTGGTGTGAAACTTATTTAAAGGGGGAATTTTTAACATGAAAGTCGAATTTTCATTCAAATTTTCCAAATTTAAAAATCCAAAATGGCAGATTGGCCTAAAATGCTACCTTGGCGCCCTCGGAATTACCCAACTTTGCAATCGAGATATATCTAATCCTCTTCGGTTTGGTTTCAAAATTTATGCACTCTAAACTCATTTTGACCGCAATATCGACGCGCCCACTCAACATTTTTGTGTTGAAACTGCTCGAATTTTTATTCGTGTCTTAATTTTTCTATTCCTCTCTTTTCAATTTTTTTCATTGGATCGTTCGGAGAAATATAATCAAAGTTCATAATCTTTACATCATAGACGCAAGAGCAAGCTGTAACGCTGATTGCCAGTCAGTTTGTTTTGGCTCTTTTTCAACTCTTCGGGCACGTCTACTTCAAGGGCTAAAAATATCAGAATCGTTTTTGTTCGTTCGAGGGTTCCTTCTCACACTTTTCCCCTTTTAACGAAAGCATAAATATGTACACTTGAATAATCTTGGAAAAGTATCGGCAGATTTTAGAGTGTTCCTAGTGGTTTACCCACATTCAAAATAGTCACAGAAAAACTTGCAACGTGGCAAATGGAGGTAAGAGTATTTTTTCCCCTCAACGCCAGTAAATGAGAAAATGTGTCGCTGCGCACGCGTGAGAGTGCAATACCAGCGGTAATCGTAATATTCTGCCATCAAGTCGAAACGATTCTGTTGACAGGCGCTGTGAGCAACTATTCCGCCACAGAAGTACTGCACGGTATCATACGAAAATGAAGGCGCACTGACATACGCTAATCGACTATCGTTTACCATTGAGTCCCAGTCCCACTGATCTTGAGATACGCGGCTCTTATTCGATCGATTTTTGAGAAACTTATTGCAAGGCTTTCTTTTCTAAATAGAATCAAATAATTATGTAATTTGATCCATTTTTCGCTGAAAACAGCTAATAATTGTCCCTGAGCCGACTATATTCGGCAGAAATTTCTCGGGGTGGTCCCCGGATCTCCCTTTGGAGCTAGAGAATTCCGTCGAACCCACCTTTGAAGCTGGGAGAGTCCTGCACTGCCGCGGAGCTAAGGGAGAACGCCGTATGAACATTCGAGAGTTGCCAAATTTCCTTCGATAAAATATTTAATTTTGAGAGCAGTCATGAATATTTTTCCTTGAAATTTTCAGGAACTTTGGATGAAATTGCGGACAAAATTATCTGGAAAATTGGAGGAAAAATATTCATTACTCTATATAAAGCTGCTGTTCCCACTCACTATGCCCCCCCTAGATAAAAATTGGCCGAAGCGATTTCCTTTAAAATTGGTACACGCTTAGCTATTGTAATGAGGAGTTGATTAAAATTATTCCCATTCAAATCCGCTGCCTTGGATGCCCGCAAGAGCGAAAAGTTATTTCTCCATATAGTATTACATTGGAGATACGCGGTTGTTTACGCGCATCGCGCCGAACAGGTTCAATCCTGTTGCGTGACGTCACTGCCTTATAGACGAAATTTTAGGAGGTATTTTTCGACGAATGTTTGTGGAAATTGGTTAGCGGGGGTATTTTTCAACGGGGATCTCGAATTTTTGGTCGGATTTTCAAAATCTCAAAATCCAAGATGGCGGCCGTGGCCTAAAATGCTAAGTCGGCTCCTGTTTGATCGATTTTCGTGAAACTCGGTATCCACAGGTATTTTTCGACGAGAAACTCGAATTTTTTGTCAGATTTTCAAAATTTCCAAATCCAAGATGGCGGCCGTGGCCTAAAATGCTAAGTCGGCTCCTGTTACATCGATTTTCGTGAAACTCGGTATCCACGGGTATTTTTCGACGAGAAACTCGAATTTTTGGTTAGATTTTCAAAATTTCAAACTCCAAGATGGCGGCCGTGGCCTAAAATGCTATATCGCTTCCTGATATCGATCGATTTTTGTGAAATTCGGGTTTAGGGGGTATATTTCGACGGGAAATTAGAATTTAAGGTCCGATTTTCAAAATTCAAAAATCCAAGATGACGAACGTGGTCTAAATTGCTATCTTGACTTCCGATCCATCGATTTTTGTGAAATTCGGTATTAGGAGGTGTATTTCGACGGAAAACTCGCATTTTTGGTCAGATTTTCAACATTTCCAAATCCAAGATGGCGGCCCCGCACGAAAACGCGGTCCGGACTCCTAGAACATCAATTTCTGTAAAACTTGGTGAAAAAGGAGATTAAGACATAGATGTTCTCTCCTCATCAATGTTAAAAACTGTGCGGGGCGGTGGCGGCTCGCGGAGCGAGTCGCAAGTTCGTCGCGAAGCGTGGAACTGGGGTCCAGGGGCACTCCCCGGCTAGACGTGTCAGCTCGCAAAGCGAGCTAATCACGACTAGTTTGTATACCAATAAATTCGTGTCTTATCTAAGGAAATTGGGCAACGCCTGAAGATTCATACGGCGTTTTTCCTTGGCCTGGCAGTACAGACTTACTGAGGGGTGCATTTCAGTTCCCCTCGCCCCCTCGATGAGGTGCCCTTCTGGTCCTTTGCCCTTCCTGCACAGTATGTTCCTACTTAGATCAGTGAATTTTACTGCATAGTGCGAAGCAAATTCCTTACGATTTTCAAAGGAATCGACACAAACGTTCTCTTGTAAAAAATTGAAGATCCCAGTTACTTTTGATAAAAGCTGATGTGGCTAAGTTCAGTGGCGTAGCTAGGTATTCTATATAGGGGGGGGGGGGGCCATTTT